TCAAGAAACAAGAAAAATCCCAAATACAAAATCTAACAGCACACCTAAAGGAACTAGAAGCAGAATAGCAAAGACACCCCAACCCAGCAGAAGAAGAGAAATAATAAAGATAACAGCAGAAATAAACAATATAGAATCTAAAAAAACAGTAGAACAGATCAATGAAACCAAGAGTGGGTTTTTTGAAAAAATAAACAAAATTTATAAACCACTAGCCAGGCTTCTCAAAAAGAAAGGGGAGATCACCCAAATAGATAAAATCATGAATGAAAATGGAATTGTAATTACTTTAACTAACTTCAAAAATACATAATTTTAGTGCTTATTATCATATGTTTATATTTTTCAAAATCTGAAAGTGTATGATCAAAGCTTATGTAAACTATTATAAGAATCTGCCCATTATAAGATGTAATGGGAGAATATTTCTTGAGTCCAGGAATTAAATATAATAACCCAAATTAATTAATACTCCTCCCCTCCTCTTTTATAAATAACATATATATTATTTAAATATTTTATCATTAGGATAAAATAGTGATTGCATATTTTGTCTGCCACTGATAATATTATTGTCTTAATATCATATGATGACTATAGTAAAGAATGAAGTTAAATGTTTTGTATTATCTTTTAGGCAGAAAATTGGGTTAAGTTTAAAGAGAGATTTAGGGGCTTCCGGATGGCTTAGCTAAGTGTCAGACTTTCGCTAATGTCATGATTCACCACTGCTTGTGAGTTTGAGCCCCACGTAGGGGCTCTTGTGCTGGGATAGCTCAGAGCCCAGAGTTCAGTTTGTACTTCCTGTGTCTCCTCTCTCTCTGTTTCACTCCACGCTGTATTTCTCTCTCTCAAAATGAACATTAAAAAAGTTTTAAAGAGAGATTTATACCTGTCCATACATATATCATGATGATGATAAGAATAGAAAGCACTTACTGAATTCCATTGTGTGCTAGAGATTGTACTAAGGTCATTTTACCAGTATGAACTTATTTAATGCTTTATCCAATTGAGGTAGAGACTATTATTATACCCATTTGTGATGAGGAAGTGAAACAAACTTGGTATAATGATTGTGAATATATGTGTCTGTCTCTCATTCTGTATGTGTGTAATGCTTAAATTAGGCTTTGGGCAATTAGAAGAACATTTGTTAGGAGAACTGTTACATAAAATTCATGTTATAACATTAATTTAAAAAACAAAAAAAAATATTCTATTGAGTTTAATATTGCCACATTTTATGCAATGAATATACTTTTTTGGTGTTGAGTAGAATTGCCAACTTAACATTAATTTAATGACAACGTTGAAAGTTCTTGATAGCAGCTTGTATGAAGCAATAAAAAATTGACTAAAAGGTGTAAATGTGTCTCAAATCACAAGTTTGTCCTGGGATGCTACATTTGGACTGGTCAGCCTTTAATTTGGCTAATAGTTAAGCAAACAGTAGTTGTAAAGAGATCAGAGAGAAAATTCAAACAGATAAGTAATCAAAACCACTAGAAAGTCACCAAAAGTATGTTAGTTGTGATGAAAGATCTTACACACTTGCCTTATAAAGGAAATAATTATTCATAATGAAAAAAAAAACATAGAATACTTCTAGGTAATCTGATCATTTTAAAAGCTCCATATAGTCTAAATCCAATAAAATCTTCACCTGGAATGTTTCTTGTAGTCCTCTAATGCCAAAATTTATTTTTCTTCCTATTGTTAAAGGATTGTTTTGATGGTAGGTTCTCATACTTGCGGTGATCTTGTGCTCCAAATACCCGCGTATTTACTTCCCAGCCTGAAATCATGTGGAGTTTGCAGTGTGGGGTTGTTGCTATCACCTCTTTATCTGAAGAATCGAAAACCTGCAATAAAGGGTACAAAGTTTTCCATGTCTCATAGTTTCTTTATTTGGAGCATAATGGTTACTTTACTTCTCTTTTATTGTTGACAGTACATTTGAATTAACATTTGAGCATATCTGATTTCTGTACTCTTAATGTTACTTCACAAAAGAAATTTGATGTCCAACACCCCAATATTATAGATTTTTTTTTGGTTCATAAAATGGTCTGAGTGCTAAAAACTGTAACATTTAAAAAATTTATGTGGCAATTTTACAGAACTTGTTTGCAAATACTTGTAATATATAGATTTGCTTAAATAGTAAAGCTGAGTTATTTTGAGGTGAATGTACTGTGGCAAGTTTTGCTTCATTTCCAAAGCCCTGTTTTGTAAAGAATATTGATAATTTTTGAAGAAAGTTCTTTACTGCATTTTGAAGAGTCACCATACCTGGTTTTAAAAATCTGCATAACTGGCTGCTCTGGGAAACAGTGTGGGAAGTTCCAAAATTAAAAAATAGAACTACTCATGACCCAGCAGACCATAGAAATTTTACCCAAGGGATACAGGAGTGCTGATGTAATAGGGCACATGTACCTATCAATATAGCAGCACTTTCAACAATAGCCAACCATGGAGTAGCCTTAAATGTCCATCAACTGGCCGAATGGAGAAAGAAGATGTGGTTTATATATACAATGAACAATTGGCACTGAGGAAAGAATGAAATGTGGCCTTTGCAGCAACGGATGGAGGTATTATGCTATGAAATGAGTCAGGCAGAGAAAGACAGATACCATATCTTTTCACCATGGATCCTTGGAGAGACCGGGGAGGGGAAAAAAGGGGAAAAAGTTACAGAGAGGGAGGGAGGCAAACCATAAGAGACTCTAAGTACCTTGAGAACAAACTGAGGGTTGATGGGGGGGTGGGGAGGCAGGGGAAAGGGGGGGTGATGAGTATTGAGGAGGGCACCTTTTGTGATGAGTACTAGGTGTTGTATGGAAGCCAATTTGGATGTAATATATTTAATATAAAAATAAATAAATCAAAAAAATAAAATAAAATGATTAAAGGAAAACAAAAATAAAATAAAAGTCTGCATAACTGTGCACCGTATCAAAACAATATTCAGACTGCTGTCTGACTGAGAAGGTACCTGAGGAACAAGGTAGAGTATTGTGAGTGGACTTGTATCCCCCCAAGCCCAGAAAGAAAGCTCCTGAAATCTTGCTTCTAGGAATTCACTGTTTCATCCACTTGATACATTATATCTCCATAAGGTATGGCTTCAAACCCTGGTTCAGATTAGGTGGTTCAGTTCCACACATTAGCAGCCTCTTTCATTAGTATAATGAAGTCTTTATCAACATCTAACCCACTTGCTAAGAATTTTTAGGTCAAGAATATGTGTGCATATGGATGGATTTATGCTTTTTCTCAGTTCTTTAAAACCCAGGTAAATATGAAGTTTTGATTGTTTTCATTTAGTCATGTTCAAGAGGTAAAAAATTACATAATTTACTGAAATTTAAGACATAGAGGTCATCCTTAAAACTGACAAAAAATTTTTTTATGAAATAAAAGTTATTAGAATTTGGACTCCTTTTATGTTTTCAAACTCTTTGGGAAAGGTGCACACAAGTAAGGTTGTAAATACGATTACATACAGAGGAGAGAAAGCAAATTGGCAAAAGTTAACAGTTTGATTTAGATGGGGATATATATATATTTGTTATGTGCCATTATTTTAACTTTTCTCTGAGTACAAAATTTTCAAAATTGGGAGGGAAGTGAACTTAAACTAGGAAAAGTGTTTATACCAAACTATATACCCATATATTTACATTTATTTTACAGTCTTTTATTCATCTTCCCTAGAAGAAATGAAGAATGTTACCTTTAATACAATCAGAGTCTTAATACTTTTAAAATATTAAATGAGTAATGTTTTCCTGCATCAGCAGGTCTCTAAGTGTAGGGGGGAGGTTTGATTCTTTAGTTCAAGAGCTTCCTTCTGAGGGCACAGAAATGGAGTTTCTTTAATTAATCAGCTCCTTTAAGTGGGAAGGTGATGCCTCATGTCCTTTAATTCAGAGATGCTGTCCTGCAACATAAGATCTTCATTTTAGGGGCTGCCCTGGGTGGCCTCCAGTCGGGCTGAGTGCCTGATCCCCCAGCTCAGGTCATGATCCTACAGCTTCAGGAGTTCGTCAGGCCTCCCCCCAGCTGACAGCCCAGAGCTGCTGCCTGCTTCCGATCCTGTGCCTTCTTCTCTCTCTCTGACCTCTTCCTCCCACTTTGTCTCACTATGTTCCCAAAATAAAATGTAAAAAAAAAAAAAAAAAGGTCCTTCATTTCAGCTGCCTTCTTGCTTCTTTCATTTTATGGTCATCATGCCTCAGAGATGCCTTCCCTTCCTAAGGACCCTCTCTTCTCCTCTTGGAAGTGCCTGCCATCCAGATCAAGGTCTGTGGTCCTGCTGGACCTTGCAGCCATTGGTTGTGTATAATCAGGTCTCAGACCTGATTCAGCACTTCCCACCACTCCAGATCCTCTTTTCAGCTTCTTGTTTTGTATTCTCTGTCACACCCATTTTTCCAGTTTCACCCCGATTCTCCCTCTGGATGATCAGCCTTTAGCTACAAGGTTACTTGGGATGTTTATTTACTAAATCTACAATTGAAAAATCAGAAGTTTAGTTGTGGCTGCATTATACTAGCAGATAATATGATTGGAATAAATGTTTCTTGGCCAGCTACTGTCTTCAAGGCATGGCATTCTCAAGTAACTTCAAGTGTACAATAAAGAGAGATGAGGAGGCTCATAAGCACTTTGGGAAAGAAGTAAAAAGACTCAAATAGATGATGGTAAAGTGTCTAGTGTAGTTCAACATTCATCAGATGCCCCTATGTTCCATACTGTGCTAAGCAGTGATGTGATATTAAAATGTAAGAGATACTGACCTTCACCCTCATGCGATTTAAAAAAATAGCTCCCAATCCTAGGAACAAGATAGTCCCTGTTAGGTAACTTCTGCTTTGTAAAAAAATCATTTAGAATTTAGAATACGGTTCCAATAATATAGAAAGATTTTTAAAATGAGCACAAAAGTTTCCCCACCCATATTTTTTTTTGGTTTCTTTGTGTGTTTTTTCCAGGAAAGAAAATGTATACATATGTGCACACTCTATATTCTTATGTTTTAGGGAACCAAACAGTTTATTACCTTATTTTTTTCAATTTCTTAACATATTATGATGATCTTCTATCATCACATAGGATGTTGTCTTATTCTTTTAATGATTCCAAGGTATTCTCATATGCTATTTTTTTTTTTTTATTTATTCAGTCTTAAGAATATATTTTCTTAAAATAGTGGTACTTTTCTTTTCAGCAAACCACAAAATTTAATGAACAGTTGGTCGGTCAATGTAAAATTTGAGAACACAAACATGGCACTGTTTCTATTTTCTGATCCGCTTCAAAAGGAATGTAGTAAGTACTATAAGACAGAATATTGCTACCTGCATTTTATACAGAATAAATATGTAGCCCAGTCTTTGAGGGAGTGATGGAGCTGATGCTGAGCTCCCAGGGTGGCCACCCACTGTGTCTTAAAAGGTCAGCAGGAGTTGACAAAGAAGTGAAAAGGTATTGCAGGCAGTAAACAAAGGCATAAGTGTTCAAATCTGCTCATTCTCTTTGCCTTCTTCATAGTTACTGTTTCCTTTTGTCTTTTCTCCCATCCTGTTTTCCTTGGGTGGCCTTTTCTGAGGCAGTGATAATGGTAATCCTAATGATCATTTCCCAGTGGATAGAAAAGTAGTTTTAGACTGAATGGAGACCTCTGTTTTTCTCATTTCAGCTTTACCCACAAATCATTTCCAGAATCTGATTCTCTTAGTTTATTTATTTAATACTTAGCCATTCATATCTTTGATCTTCTAAGATTAAACCAACACCTACAAATTTCACACTCTGAAAAATGCAGTCTCTCAGTTACTGCATCTCAACCATTGCTCGGGTCCTTTCTTCCTCTAGAGTGGAAGTTGCCATTGCTGTTCACTGAGTTGATATGACATTTGGCCCCAGGATTTAGAGAAAAAAAATGTTGAAGGTTTGTTAAGCTGTGTCCAGGCAGCTACAGACTTATTTTCCTCCTATAGGCAGAGTTAATGTGCTGGGAAAGGGCTTCCCAAAACTATCTTAGCTGAGATTATCAGGCAAAAGAATACTAGCCATGGAAAAGCTAATAGTATTTTATTTATTTTATTTTTATTTTTTTTTTTAATTTTTCTAACGCTTTTATTTATTTCCGGGACAGAGAGAGACAGAGCATGAACAGGGAGGGGCAGAGAGAGGGGCTATGAGAATCGAAACAGGCTCCAGGCTCTGATCCATCACCCAGAGCCTGATATAACAACCACGGACCGTGAGATCGCAGACCTGCTGAAGTCGGACGCGCTTAACCGACCATGCCACCCAGGCTCAATAGTATTTTAGTGCTGCTTTTCACTTCTTATGCATACCTGAAACAAACAAAGTTGGGAGTTTTACTTGTCAGGAAAGCCGGCTGAGCAGAAACAACAGGACTGAGTGATGAAGGAAGCAGGTGAGATGTATTACAAACATGAGCACCCTTCAAAAAAATGTTTTGGCACAAGGGAAAGCGGGAAAGCCAAAAGATAGGAGAAAATATAGAAAAATAAGTCATGGAGAGTAAAAGGCAAATCTAACTTATTTACTTGCAGTTTTGCCGGAAGCTTTGGATCTGACACATTTTCTCATCTCTGCCAGATGGCAAGGTAACTTATCTTCTCTTCCCATACCCTTGTTCCATTTTCTGCTCCTCTATCTTGGCTGTGGTGAAAGGAAAGGAAGAGATGCAGAACTGCCTCCTGCAAAGTTTTATAAGTGTTTTAATTTGCTGCCCAGCTGGATCAAGTGGCGATGCTTTCAGTATATAGATGCCAGGACCTGGGTTTCTGACTTGCTGAATTATAATTCCAGGAATGGC